TGCATGGCGGTTGCCCATGCATTATGGGTTGAGATGACTAACATCTACCCTACCTGTGCTCATCCACTGTGCCAACACACACACACGCAATTGGGTAAACGTTGCCCACTGGTTTAATCGTAAATTACTCGTTGGCAATGTATTTAATGAAGGCCGTGGACAGTGGTGGGGGGGGGGGGGGGAGACGCTCACCCACGCAGGAGGAGCAGAGCAGGGCCAGCACGGCGAGGAGCAGTGGAGAGCGCCAAGCCACCATGGTGTCCGTGGGTCCTCGCGTCTCTCAGCACCGGGTCCCTATCTCGGGGAGGAGGAGGATGAGACGGAGGAGACTTTTATATGCAAGTGAGAACCTATGACGCGTGCAAAGACAAAGAACCCCCCCCCCCCCCCCCTTAGAGGATGAACGGTCGGGGCAAGTGCTGTTCGCGAGTATCACCTTTGAAGGCCACCACTGTGGCACACGAGGGGGTGGATGGGAGGCCAGCACCACGCACGCCCGGCCGCATTTGTCCTCCTATTGGCGATATTTACACATTGTACCTGGTACTCATTTGAGAATGAGTTGACCTTGGGGGTGCCCAGGACCTGTTCTGATATTCGCCACTGTTATTGGTCGTGAGCGGGAATCGCAACTCGGGTAGCCGGGTTTGGAGCGCAGTGCGCTCCTGACATACCTATACACATGCATGCATGCATACAAAGACTAAGATCCTTCATGTACTCTGTAGGAGACTGTTGGGGCAAGTGCTGTTGGCAAGTAGCACCTATGAATGTCCAGAAGCGGTTCAGATAGTCGTAACTCGTATTGGCCATGAGCGGGAATCAAACTCTGGTCGCCAGGTTTGTAGCGCAGCGCGCTTGTGCAGCGTGCTAACCGCCGAAAGTCAGGACACATTCGGTTATTTCATTTAATTTAACACTGGCATTAAATATTTTCTTCATATTTATTTTCTTGAGTTCATATTCCATCTATTCTCGTTATTAATATCTACCTTTCTTTTCCTATGGGGGCACCTAAAATCCGTCGTTTACAAACTCAATCAAAAACTCTGAATAAGTTTAGGCTAAATTTTCTTTTTTATCAGATTCATTTAAAAAACACTTCATAAATGTATTCATGTTAATGGAAGTAATTTTGAACATCTGTTAAAATACATTTGATAACACTTTGTGATTTGTTAAAATAAATATAATGTTCTTTCGTATGGCGAATTTAGATGCAGAGCAACAACTACAATTTCACACTCGGGTGGTCAAGCCAGATAACCGCGTTAGGAGGTACATACATACACATATACGTATGTGTATGTATGTACGCACGTAATACATACACATACATACATACACGTAGAGACACACCCGCACTCACACATTTTCGGTCCAGTGACGCTGTTCACAGGAGCGTGTTGCTTCCATGCCAGGTGATGAAGAGGCGTTAAAGAAGATGCCTCTAATTATTCCGCTCTGTCGCTCACAATAAAGCTCAGTGTCTTCCCAACGACTGCTTATACATCAGCATCCAGTAATCAGCAGCAGCATCATCATCAGCAGTATACAATTTTTATAGCTATCATTTCGTTAGCAACAGCACGAACATCAGTAACACCCGATTTAAAACAATGTTATTTTACATCATGGGATCTCCTTTGCCAGTACCAAAATATGATAATAGGTTTTCCCATTTTTTCTGGCAACAAAACAGGTGTTAAGATGTTAAAACACCAAACTTAAACCTTTTACAAGGAAGAAATTAAATAAAATAATAATAGAATACGACGTTTAGATTGCAACACAAACAACCATCATCCGGTACAAATGAATAAGAAAACAAACATACTATGGGGACCTCATTTGCCAGTAAAAAATATGATAATTGGTTCTTTACCCTTCTATCTGGCAACAAAACTGACACCTTTTTGCAAGGAGTCATGTTTGCATAGACCGCAATACCTGCAGTCATAAATACAAACAAAAGACATAACTCTGATAATGTGCACTGTCCTTGAAGTTGATTGGTGTCAGTTTTGTTGCCAGATAGAAGGGTAAAGAACCAATTATCATATTTTTTACTGGCAAATGAGGTCCCCATAGTGTAGATGCTTGCCCCGAGCTCTCATACTCTGATGGTGCATTGTCCTTGAGTTGTGCGCCTTTTGGCGTCATCTGGTCCAATCCATATGAGACTAGGCTCGAAGGAAAGCTGTCTCGGGTGTGGACCAATCAACTTCAAGGACAGTGCACATTATCAGAGTTATGTCTTTTGTTTGTATTTATGACTGCAGGTATTGCGGTCTATGCAAACATGACTCCTTGCAAAAGGTGTCAGTTTTGTTGCCAGATAGAAGGGTAAAGAACCAATTATCAAAACAAACATAGTTAACTTGGAAATATAGTGCAATACAACACAGAGAGTCGGCCAACAAAACAGTCATCACCCCACTTGGTTGATTACGTTCTTCCAAAGATTGCTACATTTGAGAGAGAGACAAAACATAGACACGAAGACACGTATTCATCAGTGATGTTTTGTCTCAATTCATTCAGGGTTCTTGGTCGAGTTGTGTAAATGCCACCTGAAAAGGAAGAATAAATAATAGATATCGTATTAATAATTATAATGGATTAAATATTAACTGAAAAAATAACCAATAAAATGTTTTAATACCAGTGTTCAGATAGATTAAATAACCCTGTGTCCTGACTTTTGGGCTTCCCTGAATCATATCAGATGTTAACTCCCTCGCCTGGTATGCAGGAGAACGTGGGTTCGATCCCGACCCTGAGACGCCTGTATATTTGGAATCTGCATGTCTCCCTCCCCGTGGTATCGTGGATGTTTCTCCGGGTCCTCCGGTTTTCCCCTTCACATTTAGACTCAACATTTATTTAGAATAGATGGCTGCTATACATTTGCACACGATAAGCCACTTCGTTGAGCTATCATTTGTGGCCAGGTCACTTCTGAAAAAGAGCTATATAGCTCAGTGGGCCTTACCTGGTAAAATAACAACAATAATCGTTCTGGGCCACAAACTCTTACGGCCTGACTGATGAAGTGAACTCACAAGGCAGGGTCAGACTCCACGAGTTAACCCAGAAGCTCATTGTCCTGTGGCGTGCAGCACAATCTCCACAGAAAGCGGGCAAAGCCAGTTAAGCAGTTTCGAGTCATCCAGACAGTTTCAATCCACTGCTGGATGACGACGATCTCCCCACACCGTGCCGGTCATGAGGGTTGTGTTGACCATACTTCACCACGCTGGTGTCGTGCTTGTTTATATATGGGTTTTGTGGAGAAACCACAGAATCGCTCGCCACTCATGTCAGCTGTGGCTGGGGATCGAGATCAGGTTGCCACGTTCGTAGCACGACGCGTGAACTAACCGTTGCGGCACCACTCCTCCACGTGCATGTAAACGCACGTCGTAACTGTGTAATTATGTATTGTGCGTATGTGTGTATAGTATTCATTGTGTGTGTACAGATTGTGAAGAATGAGCCAGTTGAAAAGACAATTCATATACTACTAGAGCATGTTTTTGTTTTTCTTGAAAGCTTTCGTGACTGCAGAGATTCATATTCTTGGTTCTTTCGGTTAAGTCACGTAGAAGGGAAAAAAAACGAATAATACATCTTTTATTATTTCCCTTCTTCGTGACTTTACCGTAAGAACCAAGAATATGTTTTTGTTTGTTTGCATGTTCACCACAAGTGTATGTGGTTAATGCAGACATGATTCCTTGCAAAAGGGTTTCAATTTGGTCTTTAACATCTTAACACCTACTTTATTGCCATAAAGGGTAAAGCCTATTCTTCTATTTTGATAGTGGCAAGAGAGGTCCCATGATACATTCTGAGAAGGTTGGACACTCTGCTGCTGAACCTGGAGCTTGCTGAATATAATTGCGTCGCGTCGTGTAGAAGCCGCTTGGCATGTCGTTCCACACGAAGCCCCGGGGTCTCCTCGGCCACAATCATGCCATCTGTTCACTATGTTTGCAAAACATGCACTGCAGTACAGAGACATCTGCGCCAGCTTGAAACTTTCAGGCTGGCCTGCATAGGGCCATCCTGCTTTCAGCCAGTTTGAATTGCGTGAAGAACTCACAGATTCTTGAAAGATCTGGGACACATTCCCATCAGTGAGCTCCTCTGGCAGGGGGAGGCTGCGTTGGCTGGGTCATGTAGCCCGCATGCCAAGTCACCACAATCATGCCCAAGCAGCTTCTGCTTGACCGGGTAGAGGGGGCTAAACGGGCGCGGCGCGGGCTGCAGATGAGATGGAGCTGGTGCGGTACGGGAGGACGTGGAGCTGAGTGAACTTCCCGTCGACCGGTACCAGCGGTGTCAAGGTCGGCCTCTGTAGAGGAGGCTCGTGAAGGACGCTACTGGGCAGTTGGAGGCAGTAGCACTGCCAACAACAACGGAGGGCAGAGGAGCGAATCACCGGGCAATTAAAGCACAGTAAGTTGGCACAGTGGGGAGCGCAGGTGGTGCAATTGCAAGTGATCTCGTTAAGTCAACCCACAACACCTGGGTCTTTCCCGTGACCTCCTACCAGAAGCGAGCTTTCCACACTTCATGTGGCCTAAAAGTGCACCTAGCCTGTCACGAGCGCCGTGGTGACTGACGGCTGTTGTTGTCGTGCTCAGTGTACTCTGCACGCAATTTGTTGTTAAAACCCTTGTCCATCTCCACTTGATGTTCAAAAGAACGGATCAATATCTCATCTCACACCAGGAAATGGGTTCCTTGAGCCACATGATTGCTCACAATGAGTGGTTATTAGTGCAAAAGGAAGTGAGCTTATATTCCCAGTGCTTGTGCGTGTGTTTCCGTCTGTACGTGTGTGTGTGGTGCTGTCAACATCAGTTACCGTACTGAGTTCGATTTCCACTCACGACCAATAACATTGGCGAATAATATCAACCGGCCCTGAGCCCCCCCCCTCCCCAGGTCGACTCAGCACCTGGTGGTGTGGAAACATCGTCACGAGGGAGACAAAGGCCGCCGGGCTTAGTGATGGTCACCCATCACCTCGTGTGCCGTGTAAGTCCTTTATAGGTGCTCGCTAACAGCACTTTCTCCAAAAGTTTCTGAATGCTACACGGGGGATCTTTGTCTTTGGTGCTGGCATATCAGTTCGTGCACTTCGCACCAAACCCAGCTGTCTACGTTTTGATTCTAGGCCACGGCTAACATCAGTGCAAGTGGTCAGGGCCGGATTAAGCATCTTGTCCAGCTGGTACCGCTACTGCCCCATGTTACAACGACCACCGCTGTCACTCCGCTTGTTTCACGCGATGCTTCGTCCAGCCGCTGGACAGATGTCGTGACTGCTGATACGTTAGTTATTATTTAGTCTGTGCCCAAATGCGATGGGAGCGCGATGTGCCTATCCTTGCTATATAAACATATGTATTCAAGAAGATATCTTGGTTACTTTTTTTTATCATACAAACAACAACAAAACATGGTGAACAAAAATTCGCAGGCCCTTTAGTTTTCGTGGGCCCTCGGCACAGTGTATACTGTGGCCTATTGGGTAATACAGCCCTGCAAGTGGTGTCTGGACCTGTCTTGGGGGCTTCGCTGGGTCGTCGACTCAACGTTGGTTAAGGGCCTCGCGAGGTGTACAAACATTACCATTGAGGTAGTGAACATCTCGCCACCGTGAGTATTGTAATAGGCGATGGCTCCACATCTTACGGAGGAAAGCGTTACGAGGTTTAACACGTGTCTGAGAGTGATGAGTTACACGTGGAGGCTCTGGTGTTTTTTCTATAATTTATCGCTTTGATTTTACTGGGGTGTGTGTATATTTATACACATGGATCACACAGTTATAAACTCAAACTATATCCTCCCAGAGCCAGCGGTGGAAAATTTCACAATTGCCGGGGCCACGTACAAATCGGTTTTAACTGTGGCTCGCTGTTATGTTTTTTTACGACTGTTTCATAATATAAACAACGTGGAGCAAAGTTCCATCTCGGGTTTCATTAAGGGCGTATCACACAAAACAAATATAATAGTCATCCGTGTTTAAATCATCTTGTCGTTAAGCAACGTGGCCTCGAAGTGTAGGCAACACTTGATTTTGTGATATGGGTGTGCATAGGTGCAATGTACAGACGACAGTTAGAATCATATTTGTTTATACTGGAGAAATCTGGTGAGCTATAAAGCTCCTTAGTAGGATCCCTAGGTGCCAGGGTTAGGATTTTAGAGGTCAATCCCGTATATTCTATGACTAATTATAATAAAGTAATCCCTAACCTTAACACAATTTTCTATCGCCAACCATTAACGTTGTCCTTAACGCTAATACCATCCCAACCCTCACACTATCCTGAATACTAGCCCTACACCTATTGATAATCCTATATGCCTAACACTTGCTCAATCTCCAACACTACTACTTACCCCCGTTTTAGCCCAAATGCCAGGTACCTCATTCGACGAAGCACCTTAATGAGTTCACTAAATTAAATCTCAGCAGATGGAAGGAAAAGGAACTTTATCCCTCGTGTTCACACAAGGTTTAAAAAAAATATGAAAATTGTAAATCATCTGAAAGGAAAATATACCTTCTGTACTCTTACTCAGGTCGATGGTGTTGAAGAAAGTACTGCTTTTAAATTACAAACATTCAATGGGTGCTCATGGTGTTTTAAATGACGTAATAATATCCTGTTTAGACACTGGGACAGTGTCCCGGAGAGTTTGAGGACCACCAATGAGATTTTAAGTAAAAACAACCTACTATATATTAATAGAGTATATACGTTGTTTATCTATTGTGATTCTTAAATATGTTATTGTTCGTTTTAATGTTTGGGTAGGTTTTGGCCAAACCTGGCCAGCTGGCTCAAAGAGTTACAAATTAACTAACATACTCTTATAGATATGCAGTGACTGTGAATGTCACTGTGTGGTGCCGGGCTTGCGAAGAAACGTCGGATAATGTGTTGCCATTATGTGTAGCCCAGTTACTGGGTGTAGTACCAGCCCTAGCGGGGCTTGGGTGAGCGTTGGTCAGCGCGGAGACACCACGTACAGTGTGCGGTGCGGGATCCCGGTGAGGGAACGAGAGTGTCAGCCAGCCAGGGTTACGTTGGGGCATGATACGCTGGTTGACCTGCCGACACGTGACCGGATGATATTGGAGGGGGGCCACCGGTGGACGGGGGCCACTGGGCGGTCACGTGGTATAGAGGAGCTCTCGAGAGCCTTCGGGAAAGAGCTCGAGAGATCTAGAAGGTGGGCGGGGCAAGGGGTGGAGCCAGCCCCAGCCCCAGCCCAGGCCGATATAATGGGGCCCCGTGAGGGGCTCGGGGCTCTTCAGGTTGTTGGTGAAGAAGATCCACGTCGGGTTGAAGAAGCCTCTAGCCACGCGGTCCGGGACCCAGCTCGTGGTGTGGACGGGGATAGCGGAACCGTGTCTAGATCTGCCGTAGCGTGGTTAGATGGGCGTTCAACACCCATGTGTAGGTTACGTTATGTTGTGTTGTGTTTGAGTTGATGTAATAATTAGTGTTGCTCCCAAGACAACGTCTGCGACTCAGTTGGACTCACTACAGATATATAGAGACACATAGATATACATAGAGACACATAGAGATACATAATGACTCGTAGAGACTGGGTGAAAAGTGCGCTAGGTGTTGGCCAAAACCTGGACAGCTGGTTCAAAAACGTGATGAATGAAATGCAATGACGAAAACTAAAGTACAACCCTATAACTACTAATGACCGTACATAAATGGATTAGTCAGCATTTCCAATACAATGTAATTTTTCATCACACCTCAAACTTTACTTTATTCAGTCCATACCTTTATATAGTCCATATCAATTTCCACTGAGTATAGTCAGTTCATAACGCGTGTTTTCATAACACAAATGAGATATAACGCAATGAATGTATTGGGGAACACATTTTTATAACGCGGATGCGAATTGGATAAAATGTGATTAAACAGAACTACGTCGTGCAAGTAGGAATAAGCGGTTGTACTGCTGCCTCGGCGTAGCATCACACAAGGCGGGATGCTGCTGGATGTTTCTAGATGCTACCCACGCACCTCAGTCTTTTTTCAGCCTGCAAACGCATCTCACGTGTTTTACCCTTCATGATTTACCCTATATAATTTGTCTCACTTTGCATACAACTTTGTTGATTTTAATTACAATGAGTGGCAAGGCTACGAAGCGTTCTGGTAGTTGTACAAGTGGAAGTGAAGTGAACAAAAGAAAAGCTATTACCCTTGAACAAAAACTCGATGCGATAAAGCGGTATTAACGAAACGAAAGAACATGATATTATTTGCGCACTATTCGTGGTCATGCAGAAAACAATTCAGCAAAGTTGTGCTTCTGCAACACACATAAGTGCGACGGCAAGGATTCTTTGTTTGTTTTAGAAACCTCCTACTCCATAACCCCTTAATTCCGATTAAGGGGTTATGGTTATTATAACACGATTTTTTGTCATAACACGGTGTTCTTCAGGAACGCAACTTCCGCGCTATTGGAGAACAGACTGTACAATGCCTCGCGGACTCTGCATTTGGCTAGGCAATGGTTAATTAATATCCAAGGCTAACGATGATGAGCCTTTGAACAGTGTGTCCTATACACAAACTGCGTCCTATATACAAGCCTGTGTGTAGAGTTATGGTACGGTACGCCTGCCGCAGAGGTAGACTGCAGACACTGACATCACACCGTGTGACTCTGTACACAGGACCAAAGCGTTGACCGCCTCTGGGACATTGCCACAGCGGTTCTAGTAGACGTTCGCTCGTTGTTAGTGGGCTGCCTCTCGAGGTACAAGCCGCATGTGTCCGCGGATCGTATGAAATGAAGTCGCAGGTCGCGTGCAGTCCACAGGCCGTATGGGGCTCCCCGTCCCTTGATTTAGAGGCTGAACGCTGTTTTTAACGTGACGGACTTTGTATGTCCCTTTTGGTTTATTTTTTTTCTCAGTTCCTATACACAATCCATATCCTATGGACATACTTCATCCGCTATAACGTGCATAATACTTTAAGAGTGTGGCATAGGTTTGTGTCAACGTAGCTGTGACAGCAGCATCAGTGCACGATCATCAGTAAAATAAGCATTTATGTAGTATCAGCAGCAGCATTGTCACCACTTCCACACCGACCCCCAGAGGTTTGCACACGTAGCTTCATTTGAACATTTTCCGCCAATCCTGCTTCCAAGGTGATGTCGTGCCAGCTTGTTGCAAAATGGCCAACGCACTTAACCATCCACGCTGTTCTCACGAATTACCATTAACAGCCATACTAACTCTCGTAACCCAGCCAACTATGTAAATATAGCCCTCCACAAACTCATAAAATAAGCGTCATTCAAATTCCAACTGGCAATATTAATTGCGAAATTAATAATTTTATAGTGATGCCTCCACAGCAATAAAACGAATAAGCTGACAAACGCAATATATAAATACAAAAGGGACCTTGCGTTGGTTGTCATCAGTTAGTTCCTGCCTGCAAGCATTACCAGCCGCTCCATCTCCCCATTGTTGGTGCCTGCGCGCTCATCATCGAAAGTTGTACCATACCTCCTCGTCGTCTCTGGTGATGGAGCCTGCAACCCAGCTGTTCCTCCTTGGCATCACCTGTCTGGCAGCTTTAGCTACAGGTCAGTTCCTTTCGCCTACAAGTGTCCATCCATTTAGCCAGGGGAGAGTTGCATTCACATTAATTCATTTCTGTCACTGATTTACTTTATTTACCATTTAGGCAAAGGGTCCTTTGAGAATTGTTCTCTTGCGAATAATCGATGCCCTTAATTGAGACAGAAGAGAGCGCAATGACATCAATTGTCTCATGTGATTGACGTCCTCTACCAGGCGAGAGAGACCGTTGACATTTCGTGCATATGTAAATGTCCTTGTTTATAACGTCCAGTTACCTAAGAAGCATTATAACAGGCTACTCTGTGCCAAAGAAACTTAGAGAAGTTTGAAACCGGTAAAGAATTCCCCGGCTAAACAATAAACCTTATGGCGGGACCGCGGGGTCCCGAATAAACGTAAGAATTGTTTAATTAATGAATTATTATTTTGCGACTCTGGTCCCACCGCGCACATAAGCGCCGCGACTCACCTGGCGCGGATTATTCTGTCGTCATGTCGTCCAAGCGCGCAGAAGAAACAAAACTTTGATTAGCGCATCGTGTAGAGCTCGTCGAGAGGAATAGATTGCCGTATCGTTCGCCTTCAACAGATATAAAATGAGGTCGCAACGCAGTTTATGCGAGAGCCGGGGGCTTGTGTGACCCCGGGGTCCCGCCATGAGGTTCAAATGTCCGGTGAGTTGTTCGGTGTCAGGGTCGCGAGGACTGCCGTTGACAACTACTGGTATACAGATGGACGTTCCGGCTCGTCTGCAGGACACTCTGCCCGCCAGCTTGTGTCTGTATATGAATTGTGAAATGTCCTCATGTCTGTACGTATATATGCGTGTGAATGCCTCGGCAGGTCAGACGCTGAAATGTATCCAGTGCCAGGGCGAATCGTGCAAAACCGAAACCATGCCCAGAGACTGCATGGCAGGACAAGATCACTGCTACACAGAGGTGGTGTCCACGCCTGGTGAATTGCATGAGAACGCGCAACATACACGTGATGGTGTTTGTGTGTCTGGATATGTGTATTTGTGTTATGTGTGTGTCTGAGGAGCGGTAGTGTAGCGGTTAGCACTCTGCGCTACGAACCCGGCGACCCAAGTTTTATTCCCGCTCACGGCCAACATTGGTGACGATTATCTGAACCGGTCCTGGGCCTCCCCTAGGTCGACTCAACCTCAAATGAGTACATGGTGCTATGTGTAAACATAGCCACTAAGGAAACAAAGGCGGCCGGGCGTGGTGCTGGCCACCCACCCCCTCGTGTGCCGTGCCGGCCTTCATAGGTGCTGCTCGCTATCAGCACTTGCCCCAACAGTCTGTTAAAGGTTTTATGGGGGATCTTTGGCTTTGTTTTTGTGTATATAGATGTGTACAGAGTGCCCCGTCATATTGGGGAGTGGTGGCGCAGTGGTTAGAACACTGCGCCACTGCCCATAATGCAGGGTTTTTTTTTGTTAGATCGCGTAAATATATAAATGTCTCGTTAAACCTGCCACCACCCGACACAGCCAATTAGTAAGGTTTGTCACGTAAACAAAACATGCCAATTCGTTACCAGTACAGCACATCGGTGTGTTGGAGAGCCAAGCCACAACATTTACAATCTGAGTACGACGTTTCGGCAGTAATTACAACCTGTTTCATCAGGCAACAGCCAGATTTGTGGAGAAGTCCACCGGTTTCGTTCCTTAAATACTACTGCACCGGCGATCCGACTTCGATTCCCACGCACGACCAATAACAGTGACGGCGAATATCTGAACCGGTTTTGGGCCTCCCTGAGCTCCGCTCAGAGTGAAATGAGTACCTGGTGTGAAAAGATCAGGACTTGGGAGACAAAGGCGGTCAGGCGTGATGTTGGACACCCACCCCCTCGTGTGCCGTGCCGGCCTTCACAGCTGCTCGCTAACAGCACTTGCCCCGACAGTCTGTGAAGGCAACACGGGGGATCTTTGTCTTTGACAACGAGTCCTCGAAACCAGATCAGTTGAGGGGAGGAATGCCCCGTGGCAATCGTTTTGTTAACAAACCCACATTATTTAACCGGCAACCAATGTTGTCCAATGTAAAACAATGTTCCCCGGGTGTTTGCGCCTCGCTGTTGTGCAGCATCTCTTGAGATGTGTGGTCTGCAGTAAGACGCTTCATGAATTCAAGTTGATGCTCAATACTTTGTATTATGCAATGAACAACAGCTTGGAAGTAAAACGTATTGTCATGTATACATTTGTATACATATGTAGGTACGTGTCCGTATATGTATATACAGTATGTATGTATATATTGCTATATGACTCCACATGCGTATACATATCTCGACTTGCACCACAGATGCGTACGTCTCACCTGTCCTTGCCTTCCCCTGTGGTCTCTCCTCCCTTGGTCTCTGGAACAGGTGCTCGCAACAGTGTGGCTAAGGGGTGTGCAGAGGCCGCCGGGTGCCAACATAAAGTTTGCTGCAGAACAAATAGCTGCAACATTGGTTTGCCTCTGCAGTGTGTAACCTGCACCTCAGAGGCAGAATGCAAAAACGCTCAGCCGACGTACTGCACCGACCCCATGGAAACTGCTTGCTTCACAGCTGTTGGAGAAACAGGTGAGGGGAAGGAACCTCTTGTTTACATGAACACGTGGTGGATTAATCAGGGCTGTGAATTAAGGGACAGGTTACATTTGAGCAGGAAGTCGACTCATGATCCCATCATCATCACCACCAACCACCATTCCTCCAGGGTGAACAATTTTTTAGCTCCACTTGGTTTTGTCTAACAGTGGTGATTGTTCATTGTTGACTGCCCTCCACCATAGGAATGTGGAATTTCTACCGCTGGCTCAGGACTACCGATGGAGTCGGTGCCCGCAGAAGTCTACCAGCGTTAAGACCGCCACGTGGCATCACTGTTTGACTTTGTCTGTTACAGGTGCCGCCACATACCTGAATAAGGGGTGCATGAGCGACCTCGCTTTTTTCCTGCCATCTATAGTTGTAGCTCGATGTAATGGAGACAGCTGTAACGCACCTAGCCCACTTAAGTGCGTTACCTGCAACTCATTCGACACCTGCACGAAGCAGAACACAGAGTTCTGTAGAAATGCAGACGCAAGATACTGCTACGAGACAGCAGAGTCCATAAGTAAGTTATTCCCCCTCCTCTTCCCCGAGCCGCGAGTAAGTGACTCCGTCCAGATTTAACTCATCGAGTTTCTAATCGGATAATTTTCCTCCACGTTTACCTTTTGGTAAACTCGATGCAATTGCACCTCGGCCATGAATCAGACTTTTGACAAAGAAAACAATCCAAAATCGACAGTTCTTATTTTGATAGATATACACCTTGGCTGTGTCCTTGGAGTTCGTGACTTCACTGTTGCATCACTGCGGCACTTTTTATGTCACTGCAGCCTCCCTTTTAGACTGAACGAGAGAGTGCTGTTTGCAATCGAGTTATGAAGGTCAATACTGCACGCAATGTGTTGTGACCAGTACCAAGCCAGGCTTACTTTAATTCCCCGGTTTCTCAGGTTCACACCAATTCAACGCCAAGTTGATATGAGATGAGGCCCAAAACATACTGTATTCATAATACCACTTGCCATGATTTAAAAAAATGCACACTTCAATGCATAGCTTGCATAATAATCTATTTCACCTTAATTACAAGTACGTGCTTGGAAATAAATCACAAAGTATGTCAACAACGTAGTTTGTCTGTCCCTGCAGATATCCCCGGCTCTTCAGATGTTTTGAGCGTGAGCAAGGGCTGCACCAGGAGCTGTATGGCCTATTCAAAAGACAAGACCTACACCAACCACTGCTGCCAGAAGGATGGCTGTAACAACAAGAGCCTTTTAAACGCTGCCACGGCCCCATCCGCCCACTATCTGGCTGGACTTAGCCTGCCGCTGATGATGGCCATTTTGCACTAAAGTGGCAACCATGATGGCCATTGCAGCCGAAGAGGTCTAACAGAACCCGCAGATAATTTTTCAAAAGTAGTTTTTAATCGTTTTCCATTTTAAAAATATAATCATTCCCCATCCATATGATTCAAAATTAGTTAACGAACATTGTAGATCGTTTCATAGGAGCCAGCATATATTGGTAAATTTTTGTACCCAGAAAATATGTGGGTGTCAAGACCCTATTTCAGGAGATTACTGCACTGGCGTGTTTTTAATTATATTCTTCAGATGTTCTGTTTTATATCATGTTGTTAATTGAAAATAAAGTTGACCATAGAAAGCTTGTCAGCTATAAGGTTGGTTTCAGGTTTTTAGGCTTAGATATGGTGAACGCCGCATGCCTTACATGACATACAACTTGTTCACACCACCACCACCACTATCGCCACCACAGGTGAGGGAAAAGTCAGGGTCACTTTCCGTGTACATTCATAGTTTGAGTCGACCTTAGGCCTCTTACAGTTCTTACCTTCCACCCCAGTATAACATTCCAGGAATTGTACATTTCCCCGTGTGTATTTCCCCATTATTAGACAGTTCTGGTATTGTCACAGTCTATTTAGTCTGTCCCCCTAACGGAATGCGGGTTGGATGCAGTGCAGTATTGGTCACGCGGACCATGTAAAAATGCCCCCCTCACTTCTATTCATCTCAAGATGTCACGAGCACATTTTTATAAAATGGCGGTTGATCAAATATGGCTGCGATTCCTTTGAGCCAATCCCAAGGCTGCTTTAGCTGCCTCTTTACCCCCCCACCCAACCCAACCCGGCCCGTCCTTCAACTTTGACCTTTAGAAATGTTACGTCACATTATCACCACAGTCCCTGCGTTGAGCAATTTGTAACCCCCAACCCTTAAAAACCGCATTTGAATTACAAGCAGCTGGAAACAAGTTACGTGTTTAATCGATTACGCACCTCCCCCCCACCCCCATTGCGTCACTTGAGGCTGGCGTGTGAACCCAGCCTAAGAGTGGAGACCGCTCACAATCCGTTGATTGCAGCGGTGGCCAATGCGTGGAACGTTACCAGAGGTCGCAACCGGGTACCCGATACCCGTACCCTACCCGATACCCGGCTACCCGTACCCGGCTGATTACGGGTACCCGTTTGCGACCGTGGTGCGGCCGGGTACGGGTACGGGTAGACCGTGAGTCACTGGTGAGTCACCGTTTGTCACTCATTTCCCAACGTCTTGTCTCTTCTCACAATTCAAGTTCCTAGAATCAACCCACCCGCGTCTGCAACATGGCTTCATCCCAGAGGTCGCAATCGGGTACCCGATACCCGTACCCTACCCGTACCCGGCCGGGTACGGGTAGGGTACGGGTACGGCCGGGTACGGGTACCTGTTTGCGACCCTGGTGCGGCCGGGTACGGGTAAGGAATCAAAACGCGTTCGCGACCTCTGAACGTTACCCACGGGTGGATCGCAACACGTGCTTTGTGTGGATCTCGGGATGAATCGGAAGAGGGCAAATATAAATCTCCAAGAATTCATAAACATGCGACGGTCCTCCACAACAATCCCCATAACATCCCCTACGTGCTGACCACTGGGGTTTATTAGTAACAAATCGGCATTTTGCGACCCCCACTGCCACTGTGTAGCATATTGTTACGTGCCAGGGACTCTATGAGATGATAGGACAATAGTCTGAGTTCATAATTGCCAATAAGTAACGGCAAAGCAGTGATAAGTGACTCACAGAATTGTGCGCAGTTGCGTATACAGGACACGACTTCCCTGAAGGCATCAACAGCTTCAGCGAGCGCGATGCCGATCACACAACGCGGCTCGAATTCGACCCTCGATCGGTGGCTGCGCCATCACCGCACACGCGTCGAATAAAAAGCAAGGGACGAGTCCTTACTTACTAACAACTCCTCTATCATGTTTCATTGCTGGAGGGGTTGCCCCCCTCTACCTGAAAATCCCATTGATTGCTGACGATGTGTGTGATCAGTGACTGGGCAATCAGGTGACAGTGATTAGGGAATGGGATCGGGGGCGGTGGAGATGAGAGGGGACACGTCGGAGGAGGAGGAGGAGGAGAGAGCTCTGTATGAAGGAGGGAGCTGTGTCTGTGTGTGACGGAGATGGAACAAACGGACTTGGAACCCTTTACCGCTCTCGCCGTGTTGGTGAGGAGAGTGGCAGCTACTTGCATGCCGTATTAAAATAATAATAATAATAACTTCCACCAATAGGTGGCACTAGTAATGTATTTCTAGAGACGAGTAGGGGTTAAAGCAGACTTAGTGCATGTTGGTCAAAGCTTGCTGGTGGTGGATCGCAGATCCCCGTGGAGATCCATCAAAGGGCATCAGTGTTGTACTGCAAACCACAGACATACAAACACATCCTCCAACGCTGCTGTGTTGTAGTCTTGCTTCGGAACAGTCAACAGGCCCAGGCATTTAACTTTTAAAATTGTACGATTCAAATCCGTAAGAAGGAACAACGTACAGCAGGTTCCCACAATCTCGATAACATCTTTTCTGGTACAAAAAATACTAATCGGCTAAACATATACATTTACAAGTGACGCTAGAGTTTGCTGTTTAACACCATGATCTCATTTAAACTGAGCAAAAGCATTACATTTATTTTTACACAATAGGTTTATAATTACTGTGGTGGTGGTAGTGGTGGTGGTGAATTTCGCAAACAAATTCTAATGATTGGCAGCCTTTTAATGTCAAAGGCCCAAGGCTGAAGTCTATGAAACCTTTTGTTTTGATGCAATAGTTATTCTGCAAACGTTGTTTGTGCCACAATGACATTTCGGAGTACGACTACATTAAAAGTGTCGCTCGCTTACTGACAGGTGTCAAGCGAGTTTATAGATCGGTGTTGTGTAATTGTTTTAATAACTATTCCACAAAGCCACAATCACCTTACTTTTCTGAGCAGGCAAGATGGTGTAACTGAACTTGAGCATGTTCTCTCATTCGTGTGTTCCCTTTTTTGGTCTCTATAATGGACATGCATCCGATTCATATGTCAAAGCATGAAGTATGTTCTGGTTAAATAAAAAATTTTAGGCACATTAATATGCTGATTTGCATTATCAAGTTAAATTTTCCAAAATCACGTTTTTCATAAATTTGATCCTCATTTGCCTTAAATAACTCCGTTGGGTATACCAATATTAATATATGTCCCAGTTGTATCCGTCCAACAATTATATTCAAAATTTTGTAGCAAATTGTTGTAGACTACTATTCTTTAGCTGATATATCATGAGGACAACTTTGCAACATTCTTTATTATATTTTTTATATAGGTTCCTGTTGTTCCTTTACATATGTTATTTTAAATGATAAATCAATATCTAGTACAGTACCATTTGTACATTATGAAAAGGCATTTGACTTGGTGCAAATCATACAAGCACTCACAAAACAAGGCCTGAATAAAATATATTTAGATACAAACTCTTCACAAGGAAGGAACAAAGAGACACGCTTTCTCAAAAGTTATTCATAGTAACATTAGAAGAGCTTTTCCAAAATCCCAATTTTTATAAATTAATGCAAACACGTACATGGATTTTTTTTATCATCTCACATTTGTTGATGACAGACACACCACGGAGTATCATAACAATTTCACAACAAATTTCATTGAAAAAAATCACCCCCAATCATCACGATTATGGGATTTTATTGAAGAATCAAATTGTTTCCTTGAAGACCTTGATTCACCAGCTTGCATTGATGCAAATCAAGGAGTGGAACCGCTCCGGCCCTTAATTATTGGAGTATATTCCCGTTATCAGAGGATCATTACGGATCCTAAGATCCCCTTCTCCTCCAACTTCCACTGACGAGCATGATGAAGTTTAAACAACCCCCCAATGTCCGACACACGCGTGGGGAGCCGTCATCCAGCAGTGGATAGATAATGGGCTACACACATGACCAGTGAATCATAACTTGGGGCAAAGCCCTGGGAAAATATTAGTATTCGACTCAGCGAGTCATCTTCGAGGACAAAAGCCCTGGGCAATGATTGACTGGCAAGGAATGTGGACCAGGGGATATAAAGGGGAGAGAGGAGAGGGGAGTTCTGGGTGCGGAGTGCTGAATCCTTGCGTGTGTTACCTGCCGTATGACCGTGGACCTCACCGGTGGGTAGGCCTCGGCAAGGTAAGGTAAATTACCTTTTTTACCGGGTAAAAGGGCAAAGGTAAAGGGTAGGGTAAAGGTAGCTCAGAAGAATTACCCGGTACGGTAAAGGTAGCGCGAAGTATTACCCGGTAAATACGGTGCCTTGTTTACCGCTAAAAGCTCCGTGGTGCAGTCCGTGGTTTACATTTTAAATTGCGATACTTGATGTCGAACCAGATGGAGACGGTCCACGTTCTTGAGGTAGAGGTACGAGAGGACGAGGATGCCAGCAACGACATTTTTGGGGTTGCTGCGAACAGCAATCGAAAGAGGCAGCGGCATGCGTTCCCGTGGGAGCACACGGACGATTGGATGGAGGGTGATCCCCATGCGCAGCAAGGGAAATGGTTTTCCACCAAACACGAACGCGTCGGGGTGGAAAGCCCACCTCAAGAAGCACAACGTGCTCGCCCCAGGCAGCGAGGTCAGGACGTCGGTGTCGGCGAGCCGCCTAATGCAGCAAACGCTGAGCCGGCCAGCAATCCCGGATCGCCTCCTGGTAAAGTGTGAGAACGCGGTGGTTGATTTTGTTATCCGAGGTGCAATCTCTTTGCGAGCCGCCGGCAGCGACAAGTTCAAGACCTTGGTCAACACATTGACGCAGGGATACGAGGGCCCGTCGACCCGCACCATTGTTGATGAGATCGCCATCGACCAAGACGACTGGGACGAGGAGGTTATGGAGGACGGTGTCGTCGACAGCCTCAGCGCCCGATTCGAGAGTATGCTATATGAGTAAAGCGCTCTACCTAGCATTTACAGTTATAACCCTTTTTAACGTGTTGTATCAGGGTAAGGTAGTTTACTCTTTTTACCGGGTAAAGGGTATAGGGTAAAGCGGTATTGGAGCTGGTAACGCTACAAACGTGGCGACTCCAACTCGATTGCCGCTCACGGCCAACACCAGTGACCATTATCTGAACCAGTCCTGGGCCTCCCCTAAGTC